AGGTGGCATGACACTAGCGTTTACCGCTGGTGGCCCGCTGTCGGACCGCCGGCGTGCTCATCTCGGCAATGTTATCACTTGCGGACCGCTAGTGGATCACCGTTGACCCTCAGGTGACTGCCACCAGAGGAACGCTAGCGTTGTCAGCGTCTTGCGTTTAGGGAGGCATGGGGCTCCTACGCGGTCGAGAGTTTTTCGGTGTAGTAAGCACCGGCCCTGTCAATTGTTATAGCTGATGATTGACAGTATAACTTAGGTAAAAAAAAGTACACACACACACACACAAAAAAAACCCCAAAAAACCAAAAAAACACTGCTGAAACTAACCCTTTTGGGGATCCAACCTTGCTGGGGGTACGAACCGCACCGGCCATGTAGATACACGTTGTACATTATTAGTTGATGACTGACAATATAACGTCAGTTTAAAAAATAATATAAACAATGGCGGATGGCCATAAAACAGTGCTGAAAAAATGTTCAAGGATTTCGTGGGTAAGACACACCGGCCATGATAACAATGAAGAAAGAATTATATATTAAAAAGATACCGCTTCATGGGTGAAGCGAACAGAACTGGGAGTAAAAAGAACAAAAGAGAAATATAAAACAAAACAAAGAGAAAGAAAAGGGAAAAGAGAAAACCCTATTTCAGGCGAATGACTAAATATGGGCTTTTTAACTCTATTCAGATCAGATAACGCATACATCTTTCCACACAGAAATGAAGTATAGCAAATATCTTTCCATGCATTATTTTCCTGTATCGTCTTGTTATAAATCTTATTAAATTATATACATTGGCGTTTGTTGTTCGTCACTGTTGCTTGATTGTTTCTCCTCATCCGTGTATTTGAACATGTAAAATAAAAAAGAATCCTTCACAGAGTGGTAAACCTTGGTCATCTCCTTTGACAACCAGTCGTTTTTTTTTTTATCCTTTCTTTTTTAAATTTTGTGTCACGGCAAATGGTCCGTAACAAAATGTATTATTGGAAGCAAATTTTCTCTTTTCTTTTTTTTTTTTTACCTTTATCACTTAATATGACTTACATCATGGGGTTATGGTAGAGCTACTGAGATCAATGACGTGTACTTGACGGTTCCCGGAAAATTTCTGGAAGTAAATAAACAGATGGCATCTGCCCGACGATTAGAAATTTAAATTTAGATAGGTTTAAACAGTTACTGTTTTAAGTTAGAGTTTTAAGCAGTTTGAAGAGTCTATTTTTCACTTGTACCATATTTTTCTATTTTTTTTACTTGTGCCATTTACCGTTCACCTTAAAAGGGATCAGTCAGTTATGTGCCATGCGTAATACACGCTTAGGCGATCATGTATGCCATTTAAAAGAAGTTAGAAAGAGAAAGAAATAGGTTCAGTTCTCACCGAGACACAAGAGAAATGACAAATTAAAGGGGTGGGGTTTTCTTTCTGTGTAGAAAAGGGGACAAAAATTAATGCACAAACTTAGTAAAGTAGAAGGGTTGATTAATTTTTTTTTTTAAAGTTAATCTTTTTTAATTTGTCCCTTTTTCATTAGAAAGAAATTTTTTGTTCTTAACACCCAACCCTAAAGTTAATCTTTAGGGTTAGGTGTTAAGGTTAGGGATGGGGTTTTCTTTTTGTATAGAAAAAGGGACAAATCAAAAAATAAAAAACATTAATTTTTGTCCCCTTTTCTACACAGAAAGAAAACCATAACCTTAACACCTAACCCTAAAGATTAACTTTAGGGTTAGTTAAGGTCAGGGTGGGATTTTCTGTGTAGAAAAGGGGACAATTTAAAAACAAATGAAATAATACAATAGTAAATAGGGCCAAATTTTATGACTCAGCCAAATAGTAAAAAATAGTAAAAAAAAGTAAAACCTTATAAGAAATTATTAAAGTACTTGATTTTAACTGAGGTAATTTTTTTTTCATGTGAATCTTGCCCACTTTTTGGGGGTAGGGGGTGATTTCAGGATGACCTTCGTGTCTAAAACTTTTTTTACCACATGGTAAAATAATTTACCAAGTTTGTGCATTAATTTTTTTTTTATTTTCAATTTTATAAAAAATGCTTTATTTTTATTATTTAATTTGTTCTTTTAATTTATCATTGCTATTCGAAACGGAAAAAAGGTTCTTTTGTATTATTTAATTTGTTTTTGTTATAAATAAAACTAAACTTAACAAAAAAAAAAAAATTACATTTCTTTACGGTAGTGCGTAGTGATTTTTCTGGAAGGAAAGTCTGTAAAAGAAGTAAATAGGCCCAAATTTTATGACTCTGCCAAAAATCTTTCGGTAGTAAATTACTTCTCAATAAGCCGGTAATGGCTGACGAAAGACCGAGAAGTCCAATTTTTTCTGGTCGTTAACATCCAAAATGGTAGATTTCTTCATGATCTAATTGTTGATTCGAGTTCAGCATGTACATTTGCACGGAAATAAGACTATTTTGGAAAAAGTTGAAGGGATATTAGCGCTCGGGAAACAAAATAGAAATTTACCGGTAAATTTTTATGGTGGATTCAGGACCCCCACCCATATTAACATTTATTTTTTATAGAATTTTATTTTTTTTTATTTTTTTATAAAAAAAAAGAAGAATATTCCTGATAGCAGGGACAAGCTCCACCTTATTTTCTCTTTATTAAGTCAGAATAATACTTGTAGCAACAACAGTAATAATTATTAATTTAGTATATCGTCATTTCAATTTCAAATATTTTCTTGAATTTCATTGGTTGTTAAATAAAAAATAAGCTTTGAGAAATTTCCATAATGAAACAGTCAAAATTTGTGCAAAAATAGGTTTAATCGACATAGAAAAATCTTTTGTCTAAGTTAAATTCAACCTTTAATCAAAGGGGGACAACTTTTAGACATTGAACATTTCTGAAACAGCAAAGAACTTTTTCTCTACTTTTGTTGCACACATTACAAAGTAATTGTAAATTGTGTATATAAAATTTAATTTGTTGACTTAAACATATATTTTTTTTGTCGTGATTGAATATCGTTATTTGTCCATTTCTTATAATTTATGTTTGTGGATATTGCATACTAGCAGTAGAGCCCGGCGTTGCCAGGGGATGTAACAGTAAGAGATAGATCAAGTATCGACCGTCATAAAGACTGAAAATAAAATTGACAAAGATTATTGTTTAAGGTTGACGGACACGCATGTCTTCATTAGTTTTTTTTTTTTTTTTTTTTTACGAATTGGTCAAACCCAAACAGAAACAAAAACATTGTTTTAAATCGTTATGAGTCTACCGATTGAATAGAATTTTATTATAAACAATTGTCTTGTAAATGGAATTTTTAAAGCATTCTGAATGTAAAAATAAAGAAAAAAGTGTGCAAGACAATAAGAAACACTACCTACCAAAAAAAAAAAAAAGAAAAAAAAGTGAAGCTTTGTTGAAATCGGTTGAAAAATGTAGGAAATCCGATCCCATATATAAACGAACACACACACGCACACACAAACAACCTGGGTTTTTATATAAGTATAACTCGATATGAGTTGTCCCCCTTTCATTCTGGCGGCAGATTCGTTTTATCGTGTTTTCAAATTGATTTCGTGCAAAAACAATTGTGTTTTTCCAATTTTTGGCGCTGTCAGAACCACCGCAAGGTAATTTTACGCAGTCCTGTGAAGTTTTGTTGAAATCGGTTGAAAAATGTAGGAAATCCGATCCAATATATAAACGTATAGACACAGACAGACAGACACACACACACACACACACACACACACACAAAAACAATCTGCGTTTTATGTATCGTATTTTTATAGCTCTGAAGATCATTTTCTTTGGTTGAGTCGAGAACTTTTCAGTACACCCGCGTAAATTTTATAAACATTAACAATAATTAAAAACATTAGAACAATATAGAATTGATGTAATAGATAGAAGATTCGTTCTTCTTTATTTTAGCATTTTTAATTTCCCTAAATCGAGAACCTTTGTTGTTCCCCATTTAACTAGAGTTCTAAAATATTAATAAATAAATTACCCCACCTTGTTGCTGGTGTTGCTATTGGAAACATAAAATCCCTACAGGCAGTCTTCAAAGTTGAAACAGTGTATCTAAGAAGGTTGCGTGAATATTTGAGATTGTGCCGTAAATAAAATCTTACTTATTATATTGTTATTTTACTTATTCATACTGCCGTTGTACATTAGTACAAATAAATATTTATTCATATTGCCGTTCAACACATTTAAAAAAAAAAAAGGTAGATTTTCATTTTAACACCCGAGCGCTAATATCCCTTCAAATTTTTCCCAAATAGTCTTATTTCCGTGCAAATGTATATGCTGAACTCAAATCAACAATTAGATATTAAAGAAACCTACCTTTTTGGATGTTAACAACCCGAAAAAAATTGGACTTTTTCCTGGTCTTTCGTCGGCCATTAACGGCTTATTGATAAGTAATTATGTGCTGAATTATGTCGGTGGACGTATACAATTTGGGCCTATTTACTCCCTTCACAGTAATTCCTTGTAGTTTAACTTTCAAATTAGAGTTAGGTTTGGGGGGGGGTAATCTTTTTTTTTTTTTTAAAGAATAAAGTTAACTTTCAAATTAGGGTTAGGTGTTTTTTTTTCTTTTGTTATTCTTTTATTTGTCGATGCTACATATATTTGAAAGCTAACTTTTATTCTTAAATTAAGTACAAAAAAATCGCTTTACGGAAACGGGTACTAATTTCTGAAAGAAAATAGTTCAGCAGTAAATGAAGCTCGGGTGTTAAAATGAAAATTTACCAAAAAAAAAAAAAACGTTTGGTCATTGGTCAGTACCGCTAGTGGATCTATGAAGAAGAAGTAATAAATAAAAAATATACGTTGTTATACGCGCGGTTACCAACAGCTGGTCGTCCTGTTCGAGGATGAGGAATATTGAAGGGGAGGTAATTAAGTGTTAGCAAAAGGTTTTTCAGAATAAATATTTTACACGTGTTATTGAGCTGGTCATCTCCAAAGAGGAAAAAATGATTCTATCTCGACTTACTCGACCGAAATTAATCAAATTCTATGTTTGGGGCTCTATACAGCTGACACAGAAATATTATAGGTGAGTTCCGTCTGTAAATAATTACATTTTTGGGTTTTTTATTCGTTGTTTTGTTATTCATGCATCTTATTCTCTTGTTATATAGTCTTTCTTTCGTTTGTAACTTTTTTGTTTGTTTTGAATTGAACCGATGAATAAATTGTTTGTTTTTTTTTTGTTGAAGTTCAAATGTCACTAAAACAATTTTCTTAAATCGCTTAATTTTTCAAGCGACAAGAAAAGATTACTTCGTTTTTTAATCGAAAGTAAACTCATCGTAAGGCTCAGGCTGTTTAGTTTTTTGCACGATGAAATGAAATGGTTTCGTTTACAAAATTTATTAAAAAAGGAAAGGTTTTGTTTTTGTAAAATCTAAAAAAGAAAAGAAAATCACGACTAAAAAAAACCGTCCAAGGTTGTTTGGTTACTCAAGGTATTTTAGTTTTTTTGTTAATCCCAATTAAATGCGCATGCAGTGGCAGTTCGATTAAATTAGCAGTCAGTTTTTTAGCTCCAATTATTAACTGTCATTTTCTACTTATTTACTTACGGTCTGTGAATGTTATTTGTTTTAAATTTAGCGAAATTTTAAGCATTCTTCTCGTTGTGAGTTTTTATAATAGCATTTTCTAAAAAAAAAAAAAAAAATAAATCCTTATGTTTCATTTTCCCATGAGAAATTTTATTTTACTTTGTAAAAACCTGACATAGCATAAAAAAGATCCTATTCGCTCAGTTGTAAGCTGAGTATCCTAGCACCTCCCCACAAGGAAGGAAGGAAGGAAGGAGGGAGGGACAGGAGGGAGGTGGACTTTTCGTATCTTAAACAAATATGGACAGAGTTGATTGAGGGCTGCGTATTTTTAAACACGTTGATGGATATTTATTTACAAGACATTGTCTTTTTTTTTGTTTCTTTTCCTTGCAGTTGACAGCGGTTGTGCGTGGTATTTAGTAATAAATTTAAAATGACTTATCTGCTTGTTGCCTTTTAAACTTAAATGATTAAAAAATGTCATGTTACACGTCAATAAATGTGTTTTTTGATTTTCTTTCTCTCGTCTAAATAGCAGTAAGACAGCAAAGTAACAAATACACCGTCGTCTTTGTTCAAGTGCTTATAAGGCTGACGGCTACGTCACGTTGAAATATCAGTTCCCGTACGATCACTCAAGTAACGTCGAGCCTGGTGAGAATCCCATTGTTGGCTTTTAGTTTCACTTACGCGAAAGTTATGAATCCACCTCTTCTTCCCCCCAGCTATGGGTTAATTAGTAAGACTTGTATCATTTTAAAAATAAACCGTATCAAAAAAAAAAAAGAAAAAGAAAAATTCTTACAATTTAAATTTTTTTCTCCGAAATAAGCTGCAAACTTTGCAGCCTAACCAGACTGACATAAACTATCAATTCAAATTTGATTAATCACTCAGGGAGCGTGATTAATTAATTGAAAGGTGAGTAAATTGAAATTCTTCTTAACCTTTATGTGACTTCATTTGTTGTCTGATCCTGAATTTGAATTTGTTTGAATTTCATAGTTGTGTTGTCATATCCTGCTATGGCCACAAAAAACACCTTTCAATGAAATTAACAATAAGGTTACTGCTTGGAAAGGGAAGTAATATTAATAATGCAGAGTGCTAAAGGTTAAAGTAAAATAGCACCTTTTCAATCTTCAGTTTTGTGACCAAATGATATTTGTGATTTAAAAAAAAAAAAAATTCCATTCCTGACATTGAAACATAGCCATAAAGAAGTGAGCAATAAAAGTCTCTAAGCAACACCTTTTTATCTGCTACCCTTCTGCTAAAAAACATGGTCCATTTAGTTTTTTTAACACGTTGATTCTCAAGCCTTATTTCTCTCATTGTCCCAACACTGTACCTTAATTAATTTTGGTACAAGTGACTTTGTTTTAGTTTTGCTTCATATATGAGACAAGGATATCATAGGTAGGTAGTATTTATTACCCATGATCCACTGTTGTGTCGTTCGGAACTGGAGTCCATTTTACAACCCAGAATTCTACACGAATACATGGTACAGCTTTGTGTATGTTAAAAAAACAACAAAAGACCCCAAAAAACACCAGTAGAAATTCCAAAAAGAAAATGAAATAAGACAAAGAAATTGAAAATATTTAAATTTTTTTTTGGGGGGGGAAAGAAGGATTCTTGTGTACCATGATCTTATAAGCAATCAATCCTAGCATCCTGCTCTCAATAATTCTCATAGAAAAGAAATTGGAAAATGATCCACCAGAGAGTTGTGTGGGCCTTGCAGAAATATCACCCCAACCTTCCAGTGGGTTGTGTGGGAGCCAAGTTAAATGACTTTTCCAAAGACATACAGGGATGGCCATGCACTTCTTGAAAAAGAGTTCAACAAAGTATTGATTACAATGTAGTTTTAATTGCTAAAACATTAACCAATATTTAGTTGTAAAACAAAAACACAAAATTCAAAACAAGCCTATAAGGCTTTTTCTTTTTTTTTTTTTTTATTTGTAAAATTAAAAAAATATATTGTTTCTGTCGACACTTGTTGCAATAACTGAATGTCTGTCAACAGAAGAATTAAACTTCAAAAAATCTTCTAAAAAATGTAATGCTTGTTGCATTTTAACTTTAATTAAAAAATCCTTTTTTTTTTTTTTTTTTTTTTTTTTTTTTTTTAAATACAGTTAACAGCATGGGATCTTGTTGCAACTATCATCTGACTTTTGACCTGAGTCAACTCGGGTCAAAAGTCAAATGATAGTTTCATTTTCCCTTCTCTTATCTGTAATTGAGAAGAGGAGTTTACCCATAGGCATCTGTTTAATCATGTAAGACAAAAAGAAAAAATAAAGGAAAATTAAAATTGTTTTCACATACCCAATAATTATGAAAAATGAAGTTAACAACTGGAACTTTGGTCCAAATTTACTGTCTAAAAATCCATTTCATCCCGGTGTCTGTTAAACTTGTATCTCTTTTAGAAAGTCAAAATTTCAATTAAATATATTAGAAAATTTCCAAGTTTTCATCTGAAATCAAGAAAATACAAACTTTAAACAAAATATATTGCAAAAAAGGTAAATTGCATTTTGAAAAAATAATTTCCCAATGATAAAAAAAAAAATATCACACAACAGTCTTCATTTAAATTAACATGCACAAACAACACCAGCAATAAAAGTGAATTATTTATTTAGTATAAAAATGAAAAACATGACTTTATTTAAAAAAAAAAAAAAATACAATGTATTTTGGTTTGTGATCTAACCACGTTAAGTAGTTATACAGGATAAAACACGATTGTTCAGAATTCCTGTTGACCAAAGTTGTGTAATTATTATATTGATACCTCCATGCGCTTTTGTAGGTACTACTATGGAAAAAAAATGTATTTTATATGTCTTCTTTGCATTTATTTGAAAGGTAATACTGCTAGCTTAAAGTTAATCTGTTGTTGCACACTCTATGGCTGATTGTTGGTGGCCTTGTTTTGACAGTTGAATGAAGGCGTTTACTGTTAATCCCCTTTAGGGAAAAGGGAAGATGGTATTTTGTCCAGCAACAAACAGAAGAAAGAAAGAGTGAATGGTCCTTCACATGCCCAAAATGAAGAATAAAACATTGTCAAGCAAATTTGAGTACAATTTAATGACAATAATAGTGATAAGTGTGAGAAAAAAGGCCTTCTTAGAAGGGTTAAAGAGTTTGTAAAGAGTCTAGAGAAATAAGGCTTGGCAAAACAAATGTCAATATATGTACACAAGTGTCACTGTGTGCATAATATATGTAGGTGTGAAGACATATAATGTTTGTGAGTGTATGTTTATATATTTACATATGTAAGCAAATATATGGATATAGATCTGACAGTATGAAGAAAAATATACAGAAAAAACAAACAAAAATCCTAATATGCAATTATGCTGTTTTAATGTTAATGTCAACATCGGACGTTTTGGTCTAGTAGACCATCTTCAGGACATATTCATAAAACATAATTAACATTAGACTATATTTAATTCAACATGAAAAGACGATGGACATAAGAGTAAGACTAATCAACACAGATAACTGAAATTTTTCAAGATCAGCGTTCCGTTTCAATATGATCACATCAGCGACATGTCGGTAAATGTTGTGAAAACGTATTCCTAAAATAGTTTTTTGAATGAAAAGAATTTTATTTTAATCTAAAACTTATATGTATGTTTGTCGAGCATAAATCTTGCAAACATACAAAATACTCTCCAAATGAATGCCAAAATTTAATCTTTTTTTATTGTGTTCCCATTGGTTGAGAAGGGTCATATGGTGTTCTTGCTATGACATTCGCATGAAGTCTGGTTTTATGTTTATTTTAAAACTTGATGTAGTTGTAGATGGAATTTGAATATCTATTTTTATTTATTTTTTTTGTATATTTTAAATTTAAGTATTAATTAGCTTGATTTTGTAAAAAATAATGTTTCTTGCTTAAAACCTAATAATTAAAAAATAATAATGCTTAGTAATCTTCTACTGTAACCCCCATCTAAAAAAAAAAAAAAAAAAAAAAATGCTTGAAAAACTGAATGAAGGACCAAAACTACTAGAAACTGGTATTATTTATGTTTAAAAATAAATTATCTGTGTTTACATAAATTAAGCCCCCCCCCCCCTTTTTTTTTTTTTTTTTTTTTTTTACTACTGATTAAAAATTTTCCATAGAGAAATTTCTTGCATACAAGATGTTTCTATTGCTCTGAAGGCATAACATTATTGTGGTGTATAAAAGGAAATGCTCTTGAAAGAAGAGGGGGAAAGAAACAGAAATTATCTAACTTGTTATTAGTTTATCTGATGAGCCTGCTATAAAGCTTTTTCCTGAAATTCTTAGCCTTGTGTCAGGCTAGGCTTTTTCTTAGTTTAGATATTAGAAAAAGAGTTGATGTCTATTGTTATGAAAAGTATGATACTGTAAAGCTATAAGTGATATGGAAGCCACACATCAAAGTGACTAATATAACCAAATTAGTGCAAATGATTTACAACACTTGATTTGAGTTTCAAGTATGTTGGATATTCCTTGTGTTGTATAACCTGAATTCTTCTCAGGTAATGTTTTCAAGTGATTACTATCAACTCGAGCTGGTGATATTTATCCTACAGATTAGTTTCAAAGTAAATTAATAAATTTAAGGATTAATTAACTGGATTTTGTAATGCTTTACAAAACATGTAAGAAGGCAGCCCCTCTTATATCTATAATTCTCAAAATGTGTGTATGTATGTGTGTGATCGAATGTTGTTTATGCATTTCCACAGTTTTCATCTGATTTCAATGAGATTTTTTTTGTTTGATAGATAATTTTTCAGTGCCGGTTTTGGGTCCAAATTGGATGGAAAAAATTCACCTTGAAGGTGAAAAATCAGAAAAAACTGAATTTTTTACACTTTGTGCAAAAATCAGAGCCCAAATTTAATTTACTTTTTTACACCTTTACTTACTTTTTAATAACCTTCCAATCCTTGCTCATGCTGTGTGGGCGTGATTCACACCTCCACACATTGCCCATCAGTTGCTGCTGACCTTGATAATTAGTGTGTGCAGCAATGTGTGTATGTGTGGCCCTGCAGCATGCATATGCATGACCTGCCGAACATGACACCTATTCAAGTTGCCTATTGGCTGCACAAAGCCTCTTTACACGTCCAATCAAATATCACTTTGTCATACTGATTATTCACGCAGTCCTAACCTCATTGCTACTGCTTAATTCTGCAATTCCACTTCTACTCCTGCATGTCTAGCCCTGCTTACACATTCCCCTTTCCAAGCATTCAATCACTCTCAAGTGGGATTACCTTTTCAGTTGCATAAAGCCTGCTACTACAGTTTTAAGGTGTTGCTTTCATTGTCGTTTATAGCCATTCCCAATTTAAATTCTCTTATTGCTCTGCCAGTTTTTGCATTTCATTCACCATAGTAATAAGTAAGCTTGTTTTTTTTTTTTTTTTTATTGCTCAACATTTATTTTTGCAACTTTTCCTAAAGTTATTCAAGCTTAGTGATTCCTGTAGCTTTTCAGCATTCTCTTCTGGTATTTGCCCACACATTCCATTTGACAATTCATACTTGCCTAAGACATGTCACCAAAGAAAAGAACTTGCCTAGGTCATGAAACCGCTGCTGCCACATCCACCACGTGAATGAGACATAACGAATCATCTTTAGAACATTCAGTTCGACTGTTTCAAAATGCCTCTTGGAATGCTTCAATCATAGCCACTGAGTCTGAAGATCAACGGAGCCATCGGCTTTCCAGAAGAGTATACCTGAACATTTCTGCACACAAGGCTGAAAATGATGATCAAAGGACTCAATGGCTGAGGAGAAACTCCTCTTAAACTGTTGCTGCGCGTGAGGCTGAAACAAGATTGAGAACGCAAAAACGGCCATTTTTAAGCCCCACTTCATATTGTTAAACCTCCCCACCAAAAAAAAAATTAAAAAATTGGGGGATGTGTGTCAGTTGCACCCAATTGTTGTTACTAATATTGATTTTTCTGGTGGACTGGCTTTAAACTTAAAATGCTCCAACTGAATAGCAAAAATTCCCAGTTATGAAAGACCCAGTCAAAGACGGGTTATACTGCTATTCTTCAATAAACAAAAATATGCCATTTTATTTATTTATTTATTTGTTTTTTATAAAACTTTCTAAAATATAACTATCAAGACCTGTCTATATTTCTGAGATTAGGTATTGTAACTATTTATGTCATTAGGACTGTTATCCTCATCTTTATTGCCATATTCATGATGTTTCAGCTATTGTCTGCTTCGATTTTATTCAGATGATATACATTCACATTTTGAACCAAACCCTTTATTTTTACCACTTGGGTAGATTGTTCTAATTCCACATGCCATGCCCTTTTCTGGATATCTCAGTTTCAGTTAAATCCCTTTAGTAACTCAAATACCCAATTTTTTTTTTCTTTTCACTCTGCTGTAGTTAGGTATGATACTCACAACAGTGGATAAGTGTTGGTTGAGTAAACCAAAGAGTGACTTGACCCCAAAAGTTGTGAGTTTGATATCTGGCCACAGCAGAGGCAACAAAAACTTGGAGAGTTGAGTTACTAAAGGGAATTAACTGAAAACTGAGGTATCAAAAAAGGCACATGAAATTAGGACAATCTACTACAGGTGGATTAAATATAAGGTTCAGTTTGAAATTTCAAAGTATATTAATGAAGAAGGTCGGTGTGTACAACGACTGAAACATTGTGAATATGATAATAAAGATGAGGACAACAGTCCGATCTATGTAAATAGTGTAAATAACTGTCATGACACTTAACATCAGTTATTTAGTGAATCTTAATGCTATCTAACAACAAAATCATTTTTTTTTTCCACGTTGTTAGTTATGGCTTGGTATTATCTTAATTGTGAATTTCTTTAATATATAACATAATCAGAATGCTTATGGTGATTTACTAAGTGTAGCTTAGCAAGGCTGAAAGCATGGGGGCATGCAGTGAAGATCGAACTCACTACTCATTTGTAATTGATGTAGTGAAAACAAGCTTGCTAACCATTATATCATGTGTAGGTGCCCAAATCACAATGCTTACGGTTGTATTTTTGGTAGGATGATGACTTAGCTCCCTTGTTGGCTGTTCCTATCACTCTGGTTTTGCTTGACTTGCTTTCAAAATTTTTATCTGAATATTTTTTTTTTTTTAAAATATAATCCTGCCAACCCTGGTTTGAAAGGCGTGAATTTTCCTGTGAAATTTGTAGTCAAACTAGTTTTTATTTATATTTTTATTATGATTATTTCTCCATGAAATGTTCAATTTTTTATTTTTTTTTAAATTTTATATTTAGTTCTTTTGTAGGAAAAAACTTTGCTACGTTGAAAGATTTTGATTCAAATGAAATACAAAAATTCTTGTGGACAGCAAATGACTTGAAAACTCGTTTTAAAAAAGACAAGGAGGTAATTTTATTTCTAAAATTTTTTTTTTTTTTTTTTTTTTTTTTTTTTTTTATTCTGGTTCAAATATAACTTAAGATATTGTACATTTTTTTCCCATATTTTGTAACTTCACTTTTTCTTTGCAGTGCTTCCAACCTCTCCATGGAAAGTCTATAGGTTTGATCTTTCAGAAGAGAAGTACCAGGACCAGAGTCTCTACAGAAACTGGTATGTTTTTTGTTTATTGAAACTTGCTTTCGCTATGCTAGTCCTTTCACAACAAATCTTGTTTGTCTACAAGCTATATTTGTTTTTAAAATTAAGACAACTTTTCTTTGGGTGATATTTTTGTCTTCATTAACCCTCACCCCCTTTTTTGTTTTTTGTTTGTTTGTGTTTTTTGTTTGTTTTTGTTTGTTTGTGTTTTTTGTTTGTTTTTGTTTTTTGTTGGTTTTTTTGTTTGTTTTTTGTTTGTTTTTTTTGTTTGTGGTTTTTTGTTTTTTTTTTTTGTTTTGTTTGTTTGATTTTGTTTTTTAGATTTTTTTTGTTTTGTCTTGATAATATTTTTTTTGAATCAAATCTTTATTTCTTTTTTTTTTTTTTTTTCTTTTTTTTTTATTCCAGGAATGGGTCTTTTGGGTGGACAGTCAGTTTTCCTTGGAGCATCTGATGTGCACATTGGGGTATCTGAAAGTCTTGAGGATTCTGCCAAGTAATTTGTTTTTGTTTTTAAACTTTTACTTTTCTTCCCCAACATTTTATATGTAGCGAGAACATTTTTCTCATAAAAATCCTACTTTAATGGGTTTCTTAAACTTAAAAATGACCTGACTCTCAGATAAATGCAGAAACTTAGTTTGTATTGATTGAGATATTGCATTGGTATACTAATGATTCAGTGCAATATTTATTTTGTAGAGGGCAATTATGAGGGTTTCTACAGTTACATAATTTTTGTTTATTTTCATCAGTTTTTATTTTTATTTTTCCATTGTCTAAATTTTTTGGGTCATGGTATAAGTGTTTATTAAGATATTAGCATTATGGTTCTTAATAATTTTTTCTAAGTTTTCTGTAGAGCTGTAACTTAATTTTAGTGTTTTTATTGAAAATAGTACTTAGTTTACTTTCACTAGGAAAATGCTTGACTATTAATGCGGGGAATTTTTGTTCTAATTTGTTCTTTACCATTTGGTTGTATGGGGGCGTATACCAAATTATTTTTCTACATCTGTTTTTTCTATGCTTTTCATTAACATTTTTTATATAAGTTAGTTTTGGGTTTTTGTAGCCACTCACTTTTAGAGCCTTATTATAGGAATTAATATGCTCATTGAAAATCTTGTCATTTGCTGAATTTGTACTTATTCGTTTACTGATAGATAACGGTATGTTTAATTATAGTTGGGGGGTGATTTGATTTAGGGTGTATATATAAAGGATTGGTGTTGGGTTTTTTATAAGGTGTGTATGTATTTTTATTTAGATCTAATGTTATATCTAGGAAGTTCACTTTTTTAATTTAGTGCTAACCGTAATTTTTAAGCCCATGCTTTTAAATTCTTTATATAAAACCTTTCTAATTCTATCTATTTTGAAGTTGGTTGAGTTTCTAATAACCATAAGGCCATCGTCTCTGTACAAACCAATGTCAGTTATATTAATATCATGGTGCGCTGTAAGGTTGTATAATATAAAAAGACTGATGAGATCAGAAGACTCAGTGGTCATATGAATTCTTAATCCATTGCTCACCTTTATGTATAAGTACCGATTTTTTTTCGCATATAGAATAATGTTCTTTTCTTCATCTGTGATATCTGTATAGTGGGTGGCAAAGTCCAACGCATTCAAAAATAGTTCTTTAAATATTGATTGGTAATAATTATCAACGTCAAACTGCATTAGTGTACTATTGTTTTTTCCTTTTAAGTGAGTAAACTAGTTTATCACTTCCTTGGTATTAATCCAAAGTTTCAGGCTTATTTTTTCTTTAATTTGTTTATTTATCCTTTCAAGGATCATTTTACTTATTTTTCCGATCTCTGGTCTTGTAGGATTTATTATCCTTGTAGTGGGATTAGCCTCAAAATCTGGTTTATGGTCCTTTAAGGTTATGTAACATTCTTTTTGATATAGTTGACGTACCCTATCACTGATCATTAGTTTATCAGTGATTTCCTTACTGCTAGTATTGATATCCCGAACTATGTTGATGTCATTTTTATTCACTTTCTTGTAGTTCTTATGCAAGTCCTTATTTATTAGGTCGTTGTATTCCTTTATGGTTGTTTTATAAAAGTTTCCAGTTTTGTTGGATTTTACGAAAATTTTATCTGTAGCATTAATATCCTTTACAATCTTATCCAGGCGTTTCTGGAAGTAGCTTTTCTTGTCATGGAATTTTATGTTGTTAATTATTTTCAGTAGGTCCTTTTCGAAAGTGGACAGACTATGAATAAATGGTGCTGCATTTTTACTGTTAAAACTGTAAGTTTCCTTGTAGTTTTTGTTTTTTGATTCATTCTTATTAAGGAAGAAGTAAGCTCTCCATCTCATCCTTCGCATGAGTTCCTCTGTTTTATTCATTAATATCACGAAATATTCCTTTTTGTTGGTATTAGGTATGTTCTTCAGAGAAATTCCGAAATTTATTTTCTTCTTGTTAAAAATCAATTAATTTATAATATTAATGCTCTGTAAATTTACATTGAGCACTATTTTGTAAAAATAAAAATATCTATAAGAACACTGGATTATATATCTTACTGTTCTTTCTTTTTATATATATATATATATATATATATATATATATATATAATTTGAAACCATCTTTTAGCTAGTTATGCCATTACCATTTCAGTTACAGAGGTCCTTATAGCAAGGCCAGGTTTAATTACTCTATTAGATAAATATTCATTTCTTGTTGAAACGTTTTGATGTCTATATTTACTGACTTAAATTTTTGTACCTGAAACATAAAATAATTTAAGCAATTGATTTTTTTAAAATTTTTTTTTTCAATCTGACAGTATCATTACTATAAATTTTATTTTAGTGGATATATCTTTGAGTAGATATTTTAATACCAAGTTATTAGAAGACTGATGTTGGTAGTATTAGTAGTTTGTAGGATATTAAACAAAGTATCCAACAGAATTTCTTTTGGTAAATACACATTTTAATGCAGCATTTTATGGTCAAAATATACATTAAATTAATAACCTTTTGTAATGCACTACTCACCTACTACAGGAAAATCTTCTACCTAGTGAGTCATGAATCGAAAGAGACATGATTGCATGATTGCCCAAGCGTGTATCACATATGGCACTTAACTGACTGATCTATATTATTTACTTAAATTCATATTTTCTTACATAGGATATTAAATTTATTTGAATTTTTATATATACTTTAATTTAATGTCTTTTTTTTTTTTAATTCTAACAAAATAAATTTCAAACTTGTGTCTCCATATTTCTTTTATAGGGTTCTGTCTAGCATGTTTGATATACTTCTGGCTCGTGTTTTTGAGCATGATATAATTGATACATTAGCTGCTGCTAGTTCAGTTCCTGTTATAAATGGACTCTCGGATCTCTACCATCCTCTGCAGATTCTGGCTGATTTCCTTACTTTGCAGGTAATAATTGGCATCTGTTTCCAATAGATAATAAAGACATTTCTTTATAAAGTTTAAAAAAAAAAATTCTGACAGTAATTTGTGGCTGCTTGCGATACAAACAAAACAAGGGAGATAATCCATAATGTTAAATCTTCAAGGTTACAACATTTTACAAAAATCTTGGCTTATTGAAAGAAGTCAAAGGTTGGTAGTGGTTATGCTAGTGATTTTTCTAAGCATAGCTTAGATGTAGCACAAGGCCAAAAGTATGATGCACCCAGTGTGGATCGAACTCACTATTCAGTCGTAATTGTTTTAACAAAACAAGCTTTTTTAACCAGTCGGTAGTGATTATGATTTTTCTTTGTTACTTGAATAAAAAAGTAACAGTAATGATTCTAGCATTTTATTTTTCAAGCTTTAAAGTTTAAAAAGTCTGCTTGTTTTGAAAATCTTCACATTTAAGCACTTTTATTATAAAATCTTTAAAAACAAGCCATAGGTTTATTTATAAGCTCCGTAATTTTAGTCTTAAGTATTTGTAGCGGACCCCTCGAGCATCCCGTATCACAAATGGGTGATGAGGTCACAAGAGGCCCGCTAACATTTTCGAAGACGTTAAATCTGACAAGGTGAAACAACATAGGCAACAGAGTGAGGATATATAAGATATAAGCTAATTTATTCTAGAAAAGTAATAAAGAAATAAAGGTGGTCGGAATGGTAGAGATGCAGATGTTCCGGTGCAGGCATTGATGGTTGAGGTTGTTTGTTACAGGTGTCATTACTGGTCATGCAGATGATCGCTGTTAGTCGTTGCAATTGGTCATTGCAGTTGAAGTTGATGTTGGTCGTTGCAGATAATTGCTGCTGGTCATTGTAGTTTGAGGTTGATGTTGGTTGTCGCCGGGATGCCAACTTGACATGTTGGGAAGGAAAGAGGTGCTGGCGTTGCGATGTTCGGGCATGTCAAAAGTCCAGTGCAGGCGTTGCGTGTCTGCCAGTCGAGTCCGATATTAGTAACCTCCCGTAATAATTACAAACGTAGTGTACAGGAAAGGTTATGGACGACGTACAGGCAGCCAGTAGGGACGGAATGCCGAGAGTCGAACGTTGGCAAGGAGCCAGAAGTAAGAGGCGAAGAAGAGAGAGAAGGAAAGTTTCCAACTATCGTCAAGTTGGCAGACAAAAAAAAATGGGAGCGTAACTTAATACACAGCCCGGTGATCGACATCCTGGCCACGGAGGCCAGGAGCCTGCGTACTGACTGTTTCAGTCGCTGACCCTAAATTTAGCGAGAAGTCACTGTCTTGTAGTAAGGGAGACTAGCAAGAGAATTGGTAAGCTAACACAGTAAAGTCTATCTATAAAAATGAGTAGAGCTTAGCTAAAAGAAAACCAAGACCTAAAAATGCCTAGAAGTATATTACAACTAGGTTTGTAATATAACTAAACTGAAAAGGTAACTAGTCTCTACCTTGGGTTAACAGTGTGTAGGGAGCACAACCGAAAGGTAAAGGTCGAAATGACCTGTTCTCTTCCGGTTTAAGGAGCCAAGGAGGAGCTAACTCCGACATATTTATATTTATCACTCCAATGTTTTGGACGCTGAGCTTTCATGCCTCTCAAAGTGTCTGTATTTGAATCTTGTTTAACCTGTATTTTCAGTTTTATACAAACTACATCTGGAGCCATGGCCTACAAGATCTTGAATGATTTTTTTTCTTAAATTAATGTTAAATTTGTGATTCATAGACTAGAAAGGATCATATCTCCAGAATGAGATTCAATATAGTAAAAGGCAATGCTCCTTTTAATTTTTGTAAGTTTTAAGCACACATGATTCTAAAAAAAAAATTGTCTTTCTTTTTCTACTCTATTTGAAACTTTTGTTTTCCAGGAACATTTTGGTCGTCTGAAGGATTTGAAGCTGTCATGGGTTGGTGATGGCAACAATGTTACACACTCATTTATGATTGCTTGTGCCAAATTGGGACTGGAAATGCGAATAGCCACGCCTAAGGTAACAAAAAAATATAGATATTAATTCATCTAATGTTACATAGATCTTGTCATTGATTACTTAAGTCTTTTTAATCAAATTTACTTCAAGCAAGGCAATAAAGCCACTAAAACATGGGGTTACTGGGTGTGAAAGAATAAAACAGAGAAACATAATGAAGGAACATAAATAATAGAAAAGTAATCAGGAAGATGGTAGATGACGGTTAACAATGTAAGTTTTGTAAAAAGCATCAGGTGTGTTAAGACATTAGCATTTGAAAGAAAAAATATTAACTTTTAATATTCTTGTACATTTTTTTCAATATCTAAGAACTTTGTTGCATTGAATTTTATCTTTTCTACTGAAAGGTGACTGTAGGCTAATATTAAAGAAATGCAGGTAAAAGAATTTAATGAGTTTTATTTATTTTTATCTAACACTTTCAACTTTTTTTTTTTTTTTTTTTTAGGTTTTGCTCCAGATGAAAATGTTATAAAGATATGTGATAAAATTGCCTCGCAGGTAATAAGACCCCAAATTTGATTACTATTTGTATAGTTTTGTTGTTACTACATGTATATAAAAAGCTTTTACGTTTCTCTAGAATTAAACAGTCTGGTATCTTTAATCTGGCACTCTTAGGAGCAGGCCACTGCTGGACCACAGAAAATGCCAGATGACAGAAATCACCCCTAAAAAAACACAATATAAACTGTCTTGACAGCTCATTCTGCATATATATTGCTGCGTTATCAAAGTAGAATAAATCTTAAAACAGGAAATTAAATTCCTTCCAAGCAAGGCTTTTGTTTCATGCAATACAAAAGCTAAAAAAAAAAAAAAAAAAGTTTAAGACTAATATATACTTGGCAATCTTTGACCTTTGTACCTGCAAAAAAAAAAAAGATAAAACTGTGTCTCAAAAGGATGTTTTGATCCCTTGACACTGCTATTAAGAACCTTCACCCCTTCAGTTAGCTTTATTGTTTTAAAAAGTGATCATAAGAATTTTAATAAAACTTAAACATATGATGAAATTGAATTTATACATTTTTTTTTTGTTCTTGAGAATTTACAAAAAAAATATTAAACACTATTTATTGTTTATTTAAAAATAATTTTATAATTACAACATTCTTTAAATTAATACAATTGTATTAAAATTAATGCAGTGTTTATCATTTACCAATTAATAAAGAAATAAGATTGAAAACAATTTTTTATTTATAAATTTATAAACCTTTACTAAATTATTAAAATATGTGAACCAATTATAGGGGAATCCTTATTTACCATTTTATAAAGTTTGAATCGATTAGCAATTAGCTGATGTTTTGCCAACCATTCCAATAAACAATCTCATAATGTTAATATTTTTGTTGTTAATTCTCAAGAACCAAAAAAATGTATAAATTTACTTTCATATGTTTATATTTGTTATAATTCTAATCCTCACTTTTTAAAACGATAAACATTGCTTGAGGAGTGAAGTTAGTTAATATAATAGCAGTGTCAGTGTTTTTTTTTTTTTTTTTTTTTTCTGGCATGAAGGTCCAAGATTGCCTACTTACTATCCTGAATGGATAAATATGCAGCTATATATAAGAAATGAGCAAGGCTGTATCACCAAAACACTCTGCTGTGCTGTGGAAAGTTGTAAACGTGTGGTTCTGCCCTTGTAGCCACTTGACGAACTGGTTGATTTTTTTAAAAAAAACAAATGCTGGATCCTGGGAGTGCTGGATTAAAGAGATTGGACTTCCACGTAGAGAAAAATGTAAAGTCTGACTAAAAACAAAACAAAACAAAAATAAGCTGTCATTGTATGTTTGAATATTCAGTTGGTTTGAAATGTTTGGTTATTCAATTTTTTTATTATGAATTTTTTTTTAAACAGTAGTGTTCACAGTATTTACATTAGTCGGACTATTGTCCTCATCTTTGTCGCCATATTTGTCACAACGTTTTGGACGTTGTACGCTCCGGCCTTCTTCAGGTGGTTGGAATTTCGAACTGAACCCTTTATTTCGATCACTGGGGTAGACTGTTCTAGTTCCACGTGCCATGTCCTCAAGGACACATGGCACAGTGGATAAAGGCATTGGTTAGATCCAGTGACAGACCCAAAGAAGATGAGTTCAATACCTGGTTAAGGCAGTGGAGAACTTTCAGAGGGAAAATTGGCAGGAGATAACTGATAACTGACATCCATCAAACCTGGCACGGAATTAGCGATAGAGCAGTGAGATACTTGCTACATCCCACCTATGGGAGAGAGGTTGGAGGGTGGAAAATAATTTGTCACTCACAAGGACTCTGAGATGCTTTTGAACTCTATCAAGACTGGAAAGTGAGGACTGGGTAGCTCCTGTCCAAATATGACATCAGTACTCCATTTTCGGCTTGTTCTGGCTCTTGTAAAGGTAGAGGATAGCATGAGGAGTCAGGTACTTACTGGAGTGGTACAGGGAGCTGACCATTTTACCTGCATCTTTTAGTGATGGGTGCATTTTAATTTTTTTTTTTTTTTAAGAGGTTTGTTTCCGAGTGTCAGTGTACCATACTGAGTAATTCCTTTTTATGGTATCTCTAAGCAATCAGGATTACTTGTCAGTGCCCACCACCATTTTGTGTGACAAATTGTACTGGGTTACATGGTACCAGCATAATCACTGTTCTAACCTGCTGTTTGATACACAATAACAAGACTGAATGGCTCAAATTGCCCTGCTATTTACCCTGTAATTTGTGGCGGGGGTGTGTGAAGAGAAATAGATTCACAATGTCATTAGTGTAAAATGAATCCAAACTGCCACAGTTGAAGTTTGAACAATTCCAATCTTGAAGCTGCTAACCATTATGCCACCCACGTCTTAAAGAAACTGAAGGACAAAAAAAAACAAAAAAACAAACAAACAAAGCAATGTTTGTTTATTTGTATAACTTTTAAAATTAAATCAAAACAAAACTGTACAATATTCTCCAGATATTTGCACTCTCAATGTGTATTTTAGAACAGTTGAAAAGAATACTCTGAGTGCCTTATTGCAAACCTGATTTGGACCTCATGAGAAACTTTAAAAAGATTAGAATTTGGCTATCTAGCTGCACAAAATTTAACATTTCATTTGTGTGAACTTCTTACCATTTATTTTGCATAATTCTGAATTATTTAATCATTTTCTCTTATCTTGATGTTGTCCTGGGTATGACGATAAACTACATCCAGCAGCAAGGCTTCTGGTTGGAAGGTTTTGAGGAACATGGAACCACCTCTTAATTGCTGTTGTTCCCAGGTCCCTCCTGACCCAGGGTGGTAGTCCCAGCTATGGGTAGATAGTGACTCCCACCAAACTGGGGTCAATAATGAAAATATAAAAATAAATTACAAATTGGAGATGCCAAAATCAATCAAATACAACAATTTAAATATCTGGGAAGTGTTTTAACAGAGGACGGATTATGCAGCACTGAAATCCATAGGTGCATTTGGATATTAAAGATACCTTTCAAAAGCTAAGCAAAGTATTAAGAAACAGGAAAATTTCATTACAAAGAAAGATGAGTGCTGAACTGTTATGTAATATCAGTCCTTCTATGTGACACTGAATAATGGACAATTTTATTGTAGATGAAGAATAGACTTGAAGCAACAGAAATATGGTTCTATTAAAGGATATTGAGAATACCATGGCCTGAACATGTGAGCAATGGTGAACTTTTAGAGAAAATGGCAGCAAAAAGGACACTTATATTTAACAGCAGGAAGAGATAGTTGAAATTTCTATGGTGCATAATGAGGAAAGAGGGCTTGGAAAATCTGATACTCACAGGACAGATTGAAGGCAAGATGGACAGAGGGAAAACAGCACCTAACCTACCTAATGAGCTTGTGTAAATGGTTGGTAGAATAGGATTTAGGAGAGATAACAAAGACAAAATTTACTAAGAGTTACAAAAGGAAATTGTGGAGAGCCATGATCACCAGTGTCCTGAAGGGACATGACACATAGAAGAAGGTGCATACATATATAAATTAGATACCCTAAGAGATTATTCATAATAAAATCTACCATGTATAATATACTTGACAAAAGTGAGATCACCATCTATGTCTTAGTACTATTAGTTTACTAGTGATACCAGTGAAAATTTCATAGTTTTTCCTATTTGAATTTTTTGATGAATCTTAATTCTTAAGTTAATGATTGAATAAGCTCATGGTGAGTTCTACAACTATAAAATATCTGTAGAAAGTCCCCTATCACATTGTTAAATACTTGAGCTTAACAGCTTCAACAAAATATTGCAATGGCAATCATAAACATGAATGCTGGTCATTATTTAAAGAAGAGGGTACAAATGAAAATTTTGAAATTGACAAATTTTCCATTTCACTTAAAGAAATGTTAAACACTTTGATCGTCTTTTCTTTCTTTTATTTTCACACTGAAACCTAGTATCGTCTCTGACATGTCTTTTCTGCCTTTCAATGGAATCAAACTGGAATAGTTCATTATTTATAAGGTATTGGCTGGGTGTAACGGTCGTGCTATCTAAGGGAGAGACAAGCAGAATTGTAAGATGTTTTTGAGTTGATTACTTTCACCTTTTCATTCAAATGATTCCCTTAATAGCTTCTACTTGGCATATCTAAATTATTAGTATTATTATTCTGGTACTTTGGGACCAGTAAGTAAAACTTAGGCAAACATGGACCTTTGTTCCTGTAAAAAAAAAAAAAAAAAAAATAATTGGATGTCAAAAGGATGGTTTTTTCCATGACACCACTTTTTATTTTATTGTTTTAAAAAGCGATAATTAAAAAAACCTAAATTATATGATGAAAGCGAATTTATGCATTTCTTATTCTTGAGAATTTACAACAAAAATATTAAATGCTATTTATTTATTTAAACAGACATTGCTGAAGAGTGGAAGTACTTAAAATAAAAGTGGTGTCATCATCGGAAAAAAAAAACATTCCTTTTGACCCTTTTTTTGGGGGGGGTAGCTGGGGGTATGAAGGTCCATGTTTGCCAAAACTTATTTCTGAGGTTAACTGTAGGTACCTGGCACTGCAGGTAAAGTGGTTTACATGCAGAAGGCATGGGCAAGAGGAAATAGTTCCTGTCTTAAAGAATCGACCTTAGTTTTTAGTTTTGACCACACTGAAATGAATACCATAATTCTGTTTTTTTTTTTTTTTTTTTTTTTTAAATCAGTCCCACCCCATGCAAGGCAGTAAAGCCACTAAGACACAAGGGATTACAGAGTGTGGAAGAATTAAGAACAGAAGCTAATGAGTGGGAAGAAAAAAAGAGTAATCAGGAGGATAGTAGATAGTGATTGACATTGCATTTAAATTTTTGCAGATTAAAGTTGGCTGGAAAGCATGGAGACAGAAGGGAGTTCCACAAGTGAGAAGTGCAAGAAAAGAAACTGTTAGCATAGAATTTACGGTTACATCTAGCGGCCAGTTCAACTGTAAATTGATACTTTTGCTTAAAATACATGTACAGGATTTCAGTAATTATAAAGATGTAGGATATGTTGCACAGAAATATGAGTTTCCTTTCTTTGGAAAAGAAAAGCTAAAAGATTCTTTTGTTCATTTTTTTTTTTCTTTCTCTTAGACTGGTTCCTTGCTTCACTATACACATGACCCAAAGGAAGCAGTGCACCAAGCAAATGCCATCATCACAGACACTTGGGTAAGCATGGGCCAAGAAAAAGAGAAGGAAAGAAAAATTAAATTGTTTGCTGACTATATAGTAAACGATGAGGTAAGTTTTTATTAATTTGTTTACTTTATTATTTGAACGTAACCCACTATACCGAAATGCATTTTGACTCACACACACACACACACACACACACTGTGGTCCTTTGTACTGATATAACTGTCATAGAGAAAATCATACATCATTCTTGTTACAAATGATTCAAGTTTAGACTTTAGACAGAAAGTTTAATAACTGAAGATGAAGTTAATAATTTCTGATCATCTGAAATGATAAGTTAAACATTTTTTGTAGAATTGTTAAAAATTTGCAGGAAATTTCATAATATAAAAACTAAACACAAAACTTGACCAGGGACGACTGAGAAACTGTTACAATGATATATGATCAAAATATAGTTCTAACGTATGCTATCTTTATGGGCAAAAGTGCCCAATATTTAGAGATATAATATATATGTAATATACAAGTGGACACTAAAGCCAACACCAATTGGCAACAGTCTGTTTCATGCTTGTACACAGTCCTCATCACCTGAAGATTGTGTTCTGCTTGGTGTTGACCTCGGTGCCCACTTGTATGTAGGTATGTATGTATATATAAACTAAAAATCAGTCCCAAGCACTGATGAGGATCAACAGCAAATTTTGTGATTCTTTCAAAACCTTTGTAGCTAATATCCACATGCATTTTTATATATATATATATATAATATATATTTACATTGAGCACTATTTTGTAAAAATATATATATTTACATTGAGCACTATTTTGTAAAAATATATATATTTACATTGAGCACTATTTTGTAAAAATATATATATTTACATTGAGCACTATTTTGTAAAAATATATATTTACATATATATATATATATATATATATATATATTTTGTAAAATATATATATTATATATATATATATATATATATATATTGAGCACTATTTTGTAAAAATATATATATATATATATACATATATATATATATATATATATATATATATTGAGCACTATTTTGTAAAATATATATACATATATATATATATATATATATATATATATATATATTGAGCACTATTTTGTAAAATATATATATATATATATATATATATATATATATATATATATATATATTGATACTATTTTGTGTAAAAATATATATATATATATATATATATATTGAGCACTATTTTGTAAAAATATATATACATATATATATATATATATTGAGCACTATTTTGTAAAAATATATATACATATCACAGCTGTTTGAGGTTTCCTACAGACCCACTGAACTTAAATAAAGTCAATTCAGGTTTCCTATGGTAAAAATTTTCTTTCCCAAGTGAAAATCATCACAAAAATAGCAAAAGTCATTTTGTCACAGCTTATTTTCTTTCAAAAATATGGGTTTTCATACTTTTTAGGGTAAAATATTGAAAAATGACTGTTTTATCATCACCTAAACTAATATCAAGGAAACTTTTGATCTGAACCCCATGAAACTAGTTATTTTCTGAAAGCAAAAGATATATTCTTTCATTTAAAAGTAAAATTAGCTGGTGTAAATGACTCAAAAATTTTTTTTTTTAGTGGGTAAAATGTGAAAAAATAGTGAAAATTTTGCATTTTTTTTTTTTGTTCTAAACAAATATTTCCCCCATTAATGGGAAATTAATCATTTTTTTTTTTTTTTTTTGAAAATCAGAAAGCCTAAATCATAATGAAACTATTTCAGGCATAAAATTGAGAGTTTTGAAGGAAATCAACATTCCTAGAGGTTCAAAATTCACAAAAATCCATTGGTAATTTTCAATTATATGACTGCCAAGGGTTAAAAAAATTGACACCTGGCCACAGAAATCTTTAGTAAAAGGCAAGAGATTTATCTGCAATTCCTAACCACCAGAAACCAAAAGTTTTTTTTTTTTCTCTAAAAATAGCGATAAGGGAAAATAAACCTAATTGACTTTGACGTCTAGTTCAAAGGCCAGCCAGCCAGCCAGCAATAAACGGACGGCAAACCTTAGAACAAGTTGTAAGAAAACCCACCACTCCCAGATAAAAGCAAAGAGTGAAAAAAAAAAAAGAAGGGTTCACAATTACTAGGGCTTCATACAACCTATGTTTGAACAATGGCTTGATGAGTTTACTTTTGTTTTGTTTTTAACACTCCGTGACCGGGTGATGACAACAACACTTAGCAGCCGACATTGTTTTTTTTTTTTCGCCGATATCTTTCTTGTATTTCCCATCGCCGGTCCATTTAGCCTTTTTTTATTCA